AGCCTTCACCTGAAGTACAATAAAATATAAAAAAAAAAGAAAAAAATACAATTAGTGTACTTAAATATGTTCATTCACTAAAAACAAAAACCCACAAATAAACTCCTGAAAAATATTAAAGACTGATAGTAGTCTATGTTGAATGTGTGAAGAAACACACTCTCATGCACATATAAACTGGCAGTATAAACTGCACTAACTTTGGTGGAAGGTATTTTGACAATTTAGCTCAAAAATTTAAATCTGCATACCCAGTAACTCAGACAGAAATTATACTTCCAGCAATGTAGCTTAAAGACAAAATGCACAGTATATACATAGACATATATAGCAGCCTATATATGTCCACAAATTACAGTGTACTTCTTATAATCAAATAGTGTATAGTAGTTATAGTACTAAGAGGTATATACACTTTCTTGGAAATGTTTACATTTGTAAGTTAAAAATCATTTAAGTACAGTTGTGTGTATGTGTACATAAAAAGATGTCTAGAGGCATCAACACAAAAATGGTAACAGTGCCTAACTCTGGGTTTTATGTAAGTACCACCTGACATTGTGTGGTGTGTGTGAACGAAAGGATGGGCATGAATTCATATTATTATAGGTACACACCTTCCTGCTGGTAAAACAAAGAAGCATTAAATAGAACCCTTAAAATTTGTCATTTGATAGAAAAGAGTACCAAGAACTCTATCAGAACTAGTACATTTTCTCTTGAGCCCCCAGATATAGTCTCTACAAATTCCTGAATATCTGGAGTTTTAGGAATTAACATCTTTAGATAAAAAGATGTCTTTGAGAGGAAACTAATGTGCTGGTTCTTTATCTATTGTCTATCAGCTCCAATACCACCCTTCTATGCTCTGCTTGAGAAGCACTGGTGGCGTAGCGGTTAAGCGCTTGGCTGTTTGAACCTACCAGCGTTGGAAACCCTATGTTGTTGTTAGGTGACACCGACTCGGTTTTGACTCATAGTGACCCTACGTGTAACAGAATGAAACACTGCCGGCTCCTGCGCCACACTCATGATCGTTGCTATGCTTAAGCCCACTGTTGCAGTCGTTGTGTCAATTCAGCTCATTGAGGATCTCCCTCTTTTTTGCTGACCCTCTGCTTTACCAAGCATGATGTCCTTCTCCAGGGAATGATTCCTCCTGACAACATGTCCAAAGTATGTGAGACATAGTTTCGCCATCCCTGCTTCTAAGGAACATTCTGGTTGTACTTTTTCTAAGACAGATTCGTTCATTCTTTTGGCAGTCCATGATATATTCAATATTCTTCAACACCACAATCTAAAGCCATCAATTCTTCTTCGATCTTCTTTATTCATTGTCCAGCTTTCACACACGTAGGAGATGATTGAAACACCATGGCTTGGGTCAGGCGCACCTTAGTCTTCAAGGTGACATCTTTGCTTTTCAACACTTGAAAGAGGTCTTTTGCAGCAGATTTGCCTCATGCAATGTGTCTTTTGATTTCCTGACTGCTGCTTCCATGGGTGTTGATTGTGGATCCAAGTAAAATGAAATCCTTGACAACTTCAGTCTTTTCTCCGTTTATCATGATGCTGC